GATACTGCACGATAAGTAGCCATTTTGGTACGTAGCTATGTATTTCTAATGTTTTGCTATTGGCTAATTTACCATGTACACCCATATAAGGCAATAATCAGATATTTTGAAACACATCTTTCATCTGGTTGGCTATTGAGGTAACATGATCACCCGAGGGTCCAGATGGTTAAGCACAAGCTGAAGCACAAATATTCACTCAGTAGATGTGTTCTCTTCTCAGTACTTTTGTTTGAGTCAGAGTTAGGGTGGTCTCCACGACCGATCATTTTAAATCCAGATTGACGCCGTGGTATTGAGATATCTCTTACATAATGGAAACCTAATCCCATGCAACATTTACTATGAATCAAGTTCAAACAAAATGTCCTGTTTATGTGGTATCCTTTCAACAGAGTGAGAAGATATTTGGCGAGTAATGTCACACTTCAAGCAGTTTAGATCTGTATCACTGCTCTTTAGCTGTCATCTGGGATCAAGGTAACGCAATGCCTTGTGGGTGTAATCATCATCACCGCCTGAGCGGGGTGGAGCATCACAGACAAGTCCTCCTCAGAGCCATAATTCTTCCTGTAAGTTTTGAGGAGAAACAACGGCACAGGTGGTCCCTGTGCGAACTGTCGAGGGACGGGATAATTTTCCATTAATAAGCATCTTTCTGGATACGTTCCCCGGAGCGGGGCTCCTGTCGAGCAAGATAAACGTCACACTGTGATGTCTTCAGGCAGGTAATCAGTTGGGCGACATCCTGTTAGTTCTGATAGTTAACAGAGGAAGACATCAACGGAAACTGCCGCCTGTATGTGTTTCAGATTCGTCGTTTAAAGCTGCATTACGTAACATTAGGACGATACAAAAAGTCAATTTTATGGTCAAAGTTAGTTGAGTCAACCCTACCACGTTGCAAATAATTGCCATTTACTGGTTACCTCTGATAGATAACAGAGAAAGACATCAACGGAAACTGCCGTCTGTATATATGTTTTAGATTCATCGTTTAAAGCTGCATTAAGTGACATTAGGACATTACAAAAAGTCAATGTTATGGTCAAAGTAAGTTTAATCAAACCTACTAGTGCAAATAGGTACCATTCAAGAAGTGGAGATGCCACAAAATGGCGCCCTACGAGTGTGTTCAAAAGCTGCGAACACAGTTGTCAGTCATGTTTGTTTACATCTGGTAGTTTGAGGTGGCGCCACTAACTGAGTACCCCTCGTGTGGACTGTATTTAGCACCAACCAGAAATGTTAAACATGTGAGAAAATTGCTCAAACATTACTTGAAAAGTGTAAGTACAATCACACGAAGAATTGTAAACTAAAATATTGTAGTTTTTTTTGCAAAAAAATGTTACATAATGAACCTTTAAAGGACGATAGGTAGCCCCCCCCCTCCAAAAAAAAAACACGCCAAGCTGCTATAAATCTAAGATAGATATGTTTTTACGTCTCCTGCTGCCAAAGCGTCTAGCTCGTCTCGTCCTATTGTGCTCAGGGACAGTGGAAGGAAATCACATCCCAACAATGATAAATCACCACTGCACACTGTAGCCGGGTGGTAATAAAAACGGAATGATTCGGTGGTGGTACAGAAACGGACAGGGAATTTGACTTCAGTATCAAAAGTACTTGATATTTGTGATATAATGTTTTTTTAGTTTTGGTCTTGCGTTTCTCACAGAATCTAATATATATGTTACTCTAAATACTTTTTTCTAAGGTAAGTCAAAAGATAGGCTGTACATCAATATGTCAGATTACCGTCAACACCGGCTGTTCATTTTAGAAAGCAAGATTTAACCCAGGCCATCTGTAAAGGCATCGCTCACATGCTGGCCAAAGCGGGACACAGCTTATTTCAGTAGCCGTAAGCTGGGCGACCGCTGTAAACTTTTGATAAATGTTGGAATAGAAAAAAAAGTTTGTAAAAAAATGATCAGAATTATAGAATGAGACAAAGGGCTTTCCTTGGCTTTATCCAAACAAAGTTTCATCTTGTATGTTTATTGTAATAAAGATGATTTTAAAACCCCACCTGTTGTGTAGTTCTAATGTTAAATTATGCTGCTTTAATACCTCCTTAAAACTTCATAGCTCCATGTTACACTAACTAACCACACAGAGTACTGAGTACTTATTGCTGCCACCTTTCCTTATCCGAACAGTTGCTCATTTTTGGCACCAAATGGCTCCAGCTTCAGTAAGCAGATCCAAGTCCCTAGGAGGAAGAAGTTGCAAATCTTCAAGATCGATATCCATCTCTTGGTACTGAAGACGTGCTTGATATCATAACCCTGAGGATAAAGGATTATTTGTCGATATGAGGTTTATGATAGGATATTCATCATGTTATCTATTCCTGTCTTCATTCCAAACACGCGTGTGAAACCAAGTGTGAAGTTTAAGATTCATTGTTTCAGCCAATTCAGATTTCAACAGTGCTTTAGAGTTTCAAGTTTCCAATGCTCTAAAAATGAGACTTCGTTTTGCTGGTCACTCATGGAGGAGCAAGGAAGATATTATTAGTGACGTCCTTCTCTGGGCACCTAAACATGGGCATGCGAGTGTAGGCAGACCTTGCACAACTTTGTGAGGACATACACCAACTGTGTGAGGATGCGGGCTGCAGACCGGAAGACCTGCCCAGGGCTATGCAGGACAGAGAGGACTGGCGGAAAAGAGTCATGAACATCCGAAAAAACTCTCACGACAAGATGATGATGCGTTGGTCTTCCTGTCTATCGCCCTGTCTGTTGTTTTCTTGAAACACTGCTAAATGCCTGACAGCCTGACTGTTTTCTTGAAACACTGCTAAATGCCTGACAGTCTATTAAGCCTGGTGGTTGATTGCTGGACTGGTCTCCGATATACCGTGCTAAGAAGGGCCTCAGCCTGTCACGGGTATTGACCTCAAATAGGAACAAAATGAATTGGGTGTAGCTTTCTTCGTCAAATCAAAAGGAAATCAATTTTTGAAACGCCACCACATTAGTCAAGTGTTGTCCCTGTCAGTTGTGACCATTCTTTTTATTTATGGTAGGTCTTTCTTTGGATCCAACTCAAAAGCATGGATAACTTAGTCTGTTGAGAGAAAGGATATCGACCGCTGAACTGACAAGGAATGCAAATGTGTGGAATTTCTGATCTGAAGCCTACAAACACGAGATTCACTTGATTTATGAAGATTTGTAAGATGTGGAAGGGTTGACAAATCAAGTGACTATCACCCCAAATAGGTGTAAACTGTAATTTCCAAGGATTTTGAGTCGGAAGCTTGACCACTTAAGAAGCAGGTGGTAGTGAGTAAGTTTGGGTGGAGAAGAGTGTACTGACCAGGTCTACATCAAAATGCGTCTGATTCAACCCCTTGAACACTGCTGACTTACTCCCGAATGTTTGGATGGTGACGCAGTCGAACAGTAGCCAGCCTCGTCGGATACCAGCCGGGAGTCCAAATCTCGCGAATGTGCGACAGAAGCTTATAATTATGTGGTGATTAGTCACCGCCCTTCCCCGTGTTTCCTTTATGCTGGAGACACATTTCCAAGCCGGGGCCCGACCGGGCAGTTTGCGGGATGGAAAAGTATGATACACAAGACTACGAAACACAAAAAATCGTTGAAAGGATAATCATAAGCATGATTTGTACATGCATTGTTTTTATCTTTCTTTAATTGTTACTCCAGCATGCATTGGGTTTGTATCGTCTCATTTACACCCTAGGAGTTGTCAGCTCTCGTATCTCCTTCCGAACTGAATATTACGCCCCACGAACGCCCGATAACTACCGGGTTGTAATTGCTTGTTAGGCGGTCTCATTTGTACCTCACTCGGGTAACCCGGGCGTTTGAAAGGATGGCTTGATCACCCCGCAAAACGGAAATCAAAACCCAATTGCAGCCTGTCTCTTTGTTCCAGGAAAGCCGTACATTATCTCCCTCCTAAGTAATCAAAATCAATACAGATAGATGTGCGAGACCCTCCACATTCCAGGAAGAGTCAGAAAGGTGAAATGTCGTGTTTAGAGAGGGCAAATTTGCATAGATGTTAACCGTTACGTAAACTAATGACAATTAACGTTATCACATAGTTCTGACACCCTGTTAAGAAGTTCTTTTTTTATTTTTGAGATAGATGTGCAAGACCCTCCACTTCCAGAAAGAGTCAGAAAGGTGAAATGCTTTAAGACAGGGCAAATTTGCGTGTTTGAAGTGGGCATATTTGCATACGACACCGTGCTAGGAAGTACTTGGAAGCTAAGGTCATATCTAAAAGCCTTGAAATATAGTAAACGAGATTTTGAAAAGTTAATAATTATTCATCCCTGTGAACTTCTCGCTGGTTCTGTCTACACAGGATCCCACGTCCAAAGGCAACAGACACGTGTACAGCGACCTCGCTCTGGCGACTATCGGTGATTCTGTTCCCGGAGCGCCAGTAACAAAGTACCAGAGAAGGAATGAGCCCGAGCCGAAGAGAAACCATCGCTGCCGACACCGCGGCTGGGGACACCGCGGCTCCCGACACCGCAGCTCCTGACACCGCGGCTCCCGACACCGCGGGTCGCGAAACCGCTGCGCTCGTGGACTGCCGGTGATTTGGCGGTTAGCTCGTGGCGCGAGACCATACCTGATAAACTAACAACGTCACGTGCGCCCCCTAGCAGCCAGCATATGCTGTTCAGATTTAACAGCGGTGCAGCGGACAGTCAATGATCTATAGTGACATTTGCCCCTTCTATCTAGATAAGCAGCGAAACCGGATTTGGTGTGTAAAAATATCACTTCAAGAACAAACCATTCCTTTTAGGTGAGACCTTATAGTATATTTTGAAGAAGCTACTTTCTACTAAATGCCTAAAACGTGTAATGTACAATGTATATGTATATATATCGATGTGCCTCTGAATACTTCTGAAAAACATATCCATTAAGCACGGTCACCTTACTTCTTAAAGCATTGTCGCCTGTCCGTCGGAAATATGTAGCCTTCCCAACTCTAGACGACAACCCGGATCCTGACACGTCCACACTTATTCGTAACCAGACTTGTTCAGACTGTCTTTGGTGTCGGTACTTTTTACTGTGATTTGGACAACTTGAAATTTACGAGACGAAGATGCATCTTTTCACCAAGATCATCGTGATCATCGCCCTCGTCACTGCAGTTGATTGTACCTGCAAGTGGCAAGGCAAAAGTATGTATCAAACATTAATTTCTTCGTTTTCTGAAATTTGGTGACGTGTCTGCAAAAAAGGATACATATGAACATTACGTTTTCTGGGAAATTAGTATGCTATGGACCTTTGAAAAAAATTTGGTCAGTTGACTATTAGTGTTTACCATATTACACTATTCGTTGTATGTGTGAGTCATAGTGTGCATGAAATCTTCTACAAAGCCGAGTCTGTTGATGGTAACCGCTTTCACCAAAAATGCGCCACAACTGTAAAAGTAAAGTTTAAGAAAATCACACTCCAAAGATAACGTTACACTCATTTATACACGTCGTCCATAAAAATTACTTGGTGTGGCCTAACCACACAAACTATCACAAGGACATTTTAGTAGCATCCATCAGAATGCTTAATCATAAGAGACTAAGAAAAACATTTTTTTCACACGAAGTAATTAAAGGGGTGCTATTTTCTCGAATGTCATACCCACAGCAATTGTCCTGTTATGAGGGCTTTTGGCTAGTCTTTTATAATAGCCTCCGGCTAGTTGGGCAGTCCTGGCTGTATACAGTTAATAAATCAATTTGAAACCCCAGCATGCGAGGATGGTACCCGGATGGTGCACTGCCATCCTGACCCCTGTGACGTGACGACCTGCCCAGGTGATCCTGACGCTACATGTGTGTCTGACAACTGTGGCGGCTGCCATGCCAACTTCTACATCAGGGAGGGCGTGACAGCTTGTAAGTTAGAATAAATTTCTTTATAAGGCATTTAATTCTGATAATTTGTACATCATCATATATCAAGATAATTTGTACATCAGTGTTGTAAAACTTCAATGGTCACAAAGCAAGAAAAACATTAACGTTTTCAAGGCAGACTTTGGTCTTTTTTGCTACAGTCTTTGCTGAATTCATCAATATTTTCATAAGCCGTCAAACCGGATCTTGCAAAACCAGGGCTTACGGAAAATACTCGGCTGTGTCTTTGACGTTGCTAGCTAAGCTGTCTAGCACATTATACTACTAAAATACCCCCATTAATATCCTCATAAATGATAACCTAAGCGGCTGTGCCTTCTAGCGAAAAGCATTACTTTATTCAGTCAAGTTTACATAGACGTGCAGACGAAGGACAGACTTTGATGCAGGCCACTCGCTAAGCTGTGGAGGCCTAATCAAGTACAAGTATAGGGATAGTTAGAATAATTTATCCTGTCAAGTTTACCATGTAGACCTAAGCATTCATAGTGTCAGCAACTGTGTAATGATATTTAGACGAAACAAACAAGGCATTGTCTTTCACCGAGCAGGTTGTGAAGACTGTTGTGGAGGCTATGCACACCCGTGTGACACCGGCCTTCCATTCGCACTCCCGGACATGTGCTTTTGCCAATCAGGCCTGCTGTGTTACCCTAACCCTAACGACGTCACTAGGGGTGTGTGTATGACCCAGGAGGAAGTGGATGCCTTAGGAGGAATGCCTCCAATACGTGGTTAAAACTCATGTATAAGCAAGAAACCGAAGCTTAAACTGAATTTCATGAGTTTTTTTTGGGGGGGGGGAATTTCTTGTTTAGAATTCTCGCTGATTGTTCCCAAGCATATTCCCACTGGCTCCCATCACACAACAGACATGCATATAGCAGGGAATTGAACACAGGAAATGAGATAACCTTTGATAACCTGTTCCAGGACCTTTTACCTTAAGTGCACTACATGTGTGTAGCATGTGGAAAGAATTGTGAAAACACAAAACAGTCTTACGAAAAACAAGAATAGAATGATAGAGCCTCCTTGGGATTCAAAAGTTACGTTTAGTAAGTCAGGTGTTACGAACATTTACGTCCCAAAGCATAAAGTAAAGTAGCAGGAAGTACTGGACGAATAAGCTATTTGGTGTATTGCATATATTTGAAACTTTAACAGAAACACTAATACACTATGGCTAAACAATGCGGTTTTAAGGGCATCAGAAATGTACTAGTCTTGTCACCCGCCAGGAGATTAAAAGGGCTTATCTATTTTTACTTAGTGGGACCGTAAGATGTACTCTAGAATCTTATGTTTATGGAACCAATAAAATAATCGTTGGTAGAGAATATTACTGGTTATGCCACGTTTAACATTATAAGAGTTACAAAAATATCAATATATACTCAAGATTTAAGGTTAATGAATACATATAATATACATAAATATAAAAACGTAAACATATTCTGCCAATTATAGCAATATTGGGTTATAACTTGTTACATGTATTAAAACACTTAATCTGTCGAAATTGTTATAAACACACACATATAGTCACAATAAATATAATCTCAAATTCCCCACATGTATGCTAATAATTGAAATAAAGTAACCACTAAAAGGCAGACTTTTATCTCTTTTGTTGAACTCTATATTATTTAGTCTTCGTAATCCGTAGGCGTAGGCAGCCGCCCAAAATTAACGTAATTCGTAATCAGTACATAAGCCGAAATGCGTAATTGCTCGTAATCAGGTCTGAGACTTTAAGTAATTCGCATCGTATTCGGCGGCGAATTCATAATCACTATCCCCCATGCAGGCCCTTCTATAACATGGTGACATTCAGTGCCCCATGAACATCATTGGTACCTTCATATGCGGTAAAACTGGATCAAATATCATTCCAACACCAAAGCAGGGTGTACGGAAAAGGTTACGCTGTGTCCCTGACCTGGCTACCTGACCTGGCTAGCTGAGATGTCTAGCACCTTAGGTTACGAACATACGCCCATTCATATCCCCACAAATGATAACCTAAGCAACTGCACCGTCTAGCAGAATGCAGCAAAATTACACCGATTACACTGAGTATGACATAGCATATACACGTCGCTTATTGACAAGGGACCTGCAGGTTAAGTTGCAATAAAGTGATCTACACAATCTGTTTACTTCTTGGACCCTGAGAACCAGTAGCAACGTCTCAAGCGCCCCCTATCATCTAGGATGTGCTGTGCAGATCCAACAGACACGACAGTGCTGCAAAACAAGTTCATTCAACCCAATAATGTAGTGACATCTGCCCCTTGCACGACACTAATATCTATAATAAGCCGTTAAACCGGATCTGGTAAATATTATTTCAAGAACAAACCATTCACTATGCATATGGGTGTGCATCTTTGTTATATTTTGGAGGAGCTGTCCTCTACTAGAATTTAATTTTGTTAGATTAAGGTGTGATTGAATATTTGAAAAAAAAACCATAAAAACATATTAATCAATCGGGACCATATTAGTTGTTAAAGAATACATTCTAACGTCCAGAAAGATGTAGCCTTCCCAACTCTAGACGACCATCCATGATACTAAAGCGACAACCCGGATCCTGACACGTCCACACTTATTCGTAACCAGAATTGTTCAGACTGTCTTTGGTGTCGGTACATTTTACTTACGTTTGAACAACTTGTGGTTGAATTTACGAAGAAGACGATGCTTTTTGCCAAGCTCTTCCTGCTCATCGTCCTTGTGGCAGTGGCTGATTGTCGCCCCCCCAAAAAAGACAAAAGTACGTATAAGAGTTTGATTCCCAAGCCTTCTTTGTTGTTGAAATTTGGTGATGTGTCACCACACAAATCTTGTAACTTCTGTGAAATTAATATTCTATGAGGTTAATGTGGATTAATTATATTTTGTCATTATGATTTTCATTTATGAGAAATTGTGGTTGAAATTGCTGTGCCAAATTATATTCCTTTCATTAAATCATATTTCAAACATGATGTTATGTTATGTTGATGTTTAGTACAGAAACAAGGATTCCGAGCTTTCCGAAAGTTCAGAACGAGCCTCCCAGAGAAGGTTTGTACTCGCCTCTGGGCGGCTGTTGTAGGATGGCCGGCAAAAGAACGCGTTAAAAATCCTACAAAACGCTGTATTAAAACTCATATCCGCCCGGAGGCCTGCACAGGAGGCTACCAAATACCTACCGTTATTTCCACGATTCGGCCAAGGATGTCATTTTCAAAAACATATATGAAGCATGCATGTCATAAGCAAAACATACAAGCACTATGCATTATCATAGTAAGGAGTCTGTTTTTTTGGCGACTGAGAATAACATTTTTGAGGATGACACATCACGTAATTAAAAATGAAAACAAGATAGCCAATCAAAGGACATTTTTCCCGTACGATGTACCCCCAGAGTGCCCAAAAGACCAGCCTCGGGTGGAGTGCTTTGCTGACCCCTGTGAGGTGACGACCTGCCCCGCTACTCCTGACGCTACATGCGTATCCAACTACTGCGGCGGCTGCCATGCGAACTTCTTCAACAGCGACGGCGAACCAGCTTGTAAGAATAAATTTCTTTACATGTGTTGCCATGTAGCGTCAGAGACTTCTAAATAGAAACCATAGGAATACATTAAAGTGGTTTGAGAAATATAATACATCTAGTTACTAGTATGTTGTTAAAATTGATATAATGCAGATATATAATAATCAATGTTTTAGTAATTCTGCTGCAAACAGAAGACTGGTACCATCTCCAATGATATGCTTTATCTTTACACTGACATTTATCATTATGCATACTGTTATTTTCATTGATCTTATTCGTTTGTATAAATTAGCTTAGATTTCAATTGTTATTTTTGTTGACCGTATATGTGTTTATGATTGTTTAGATTGGATTTAAACCGAAGTGCAACTTATAATTAAATGAACAATGTATCTTCGAAACGGACAATAAATTGATATTATCTTGAAAGTTTATTTGTGTCATTGCGAAGCAGGCTTAGACTGTTATTTCTAACGCAACAGAGTTGAAAATGTGGGTACGTTCAATTTCCTATGTTGGAAATTACAGTTCAAACTTGCTTAAAAATTAATTGATATTGACCTTTGACCCAACAGGTTGTGGAGGCCAGGGACAACCATGTGACACCGGCCATCCAATCGCATACGAGGACGACTGCACCTGTGAGGGAGGCTTGCTGTGTTACCCCAACGAGGACGACTTCACTACGGGGACGTGCCAGACCCAGGAGTGGGTGGATGCAAACGGAGGAATGCCTCCCCTGCCCATCGGTTAAAACAATCGAGAAGCAAGAAGTACAAGCCATCACACACCAAGTGAAACTTATCGTGAATTTAAGTATAAGACTAATAAGAATTTGAGTTTTAGTGTCAATGTAATCTTTTAATTCATTATAATATATTAATTGTACATTTCTGCCTGATTCTGTCCATGCATTTTTATCCATTGGCTTCAAAAAGATATGCAGGACGTTTAAGATAAGAAATGAGATAACCTTTGATAACCTATTCTTGGACCTTTGACCTAACGTGTCATTGATATGTCCAGCATGTGGTAAAACATGCAAAGCGACTCATCAAAAACAACCTCCGTGGGATGAAAAAAAATTCTTGTAAGTCACCAAGATGTTCCAAAACGATTTACTTCCCAAAGCGTTAATTACTTATTTGCTTTGACAACTTTGATGTGTTATAAAAGGCATTACCTGGTATCCATTTATTGTTCAACCTGATAAAACTATTTACGGTCGAAGGTATTCTATTTACGTCTTGTTACTATGGATTCCCCTGACAGTTTAACCTTCATTATTACATATTTTCACTTAGTGGGCTTATATAAGGTATACTGTAGAATCTAATGTTTTATTTAACCATTTACAGCTTAGGTCTGGTACTACATGTAGTATATCGGTATTTAAATATATTTAGGATTATGAGGATTTTATTCAGTATTATACTCAAGAGTAAAGCATATCGATTAAAAACACATAGAAGATATATCAGACAAATCCGATTAAAAATGTTACTTATAATATCAGTAAGATATCTGCTAATAATAAAACACTTACATGGAGAACTTATTATAGTTATTTAACACGACGTACATTCTTTTGTTTAGATAATTATAGTAGGCACCTTAGATATAATCTCAAATCCCTCTCAATACATGTTCTTTGGAAGATGTAAGTTGATAATGGTTGAAAATAAAGTAGGCACCAAAAGATATAAAATGGAGTCTGATATTTTACGTGTATCAAGGTACTTTCCACATCAATATTGGGAAATTTCAGGGGTAAAAAGGGAGAAAAATAGAAAGAAATGAAGTTACTATTTTAACTATGTAATACAGCAACATATAAGTTGAACTAGTACATGTAGGTCTAACATGTAAGCACATATTTATATGTCTCTCCTTCATCTTTATGTTAAATTGAAAGCAACACAAAGTAAAAGTCTAAAAATATGAATTATATTACATTTGACTGCATTATTATCTCAGCTGGTTTCCAACCAACCAAATGACTTTCTTTTATCAAATTAAATTGAAATTAACACCTAACAAAAGTCTTGAAACATGATAAAATATAACAGTTTACTGCATCATTAACTTTATTCTTTGGGTTGCTCTTTTTGCATTTAAAGATGAGTCATTATGCAAAAGACTTCAGTATATTTTACTTGTATAAGGTGTTTTACACCTGCTTCGCTATTTCTCATGCCCCGAACTTCAAAACTGAACTCACCTAATCCTTCATAATGTCATCATAGACACTGGGATCTAATTTGTTTCCTGGTATCTCATACCCATGCTCATCTTTCCTGGATTCACTCACATTTACCTTTGAGCTCACCCCAGGTCCACACACCTCATAGTGGTTCTCCTGCCTGTTCAAGTTACCAACAACTAACTCGTTACTCAATTTCTGAGCCCCGTTAAGCTGTGGGTTCTCATTCCCCACTTTTTGTAGAGAGGGTGGGCGGTTTGGTAACGGAGGTGCAGCGGATTTGCTAGCAGCCGCGAGGTCCTGCAAGTTTGCGGCGCAAGGTTGTTGCGATCCCGTGGCGTTCCCTTCGAAGCAAGGGTTGTCGTAGATGTTGTTGGTATACGCCTCCGGGTGTCGGCGCTCGGAGAGGTTGTTAAGGGTGCCGTTTTGCCCGTTGCGAACTCCATATTGTTCTCGAGCGCGGTCCATTCGTAACTTACTCCTGTATTTTGAAAAGTACATTCAACTTAATCTTGAAATGTTTACGGTGCATGATTGAAGTTTTGTGGGTTTTTTTTGCAGTAAGTGTTCACAACCTCTCCACTGCAAATTCAAGAAATCTTAAATGATGCTGTTAATTCTCACTCAAACACATTCATATATTATACATGTATATGGTGACAGGAGTCTAAATCCCTCCAGCTATAAGATTGCAACATGATGTATTACAACACTAGCTACCATGGTGACAGATGTCTGGTCATTGACCTTTTGGGTTAGGAGTTGAAGAAGAATCTGTAGATTATTCACACTCTTACAACAAACAGAAAGCTCTGGAGACAGGAAGTTAAGAAGCGCTTACACCGGGGGAAAGAAAAGCAGAAACTCGCATCAGAACTCAGAAAGCTTTAAAGAATAAGTGCATGATGTACGGAAGAAGAATTTTCTTCATTGTCTCACGAGACCGATGAAATGCCTACTACTGAAGAAGAAGAAGAAGAAGAGGGATCAGAGGAAAAACAATGCTTTCCTTTGGTAAACATGACAAAAACTCAGAGTTGCAGAGTTTGTATTACTGTACATACCGGCGCCGGCGATAGAGGAAGACAGCCCCTATCAGGGCTAACAAGAGAGCCACGAGGACGATCACAATGGCAGCAATGGTCCCATTCTCAGCTGTCCTGTCCACTTTACCTTCACCTATGCAAGTTTAAAATGTATGTTGCTTTTGGTATGTCTGACATGAGTAATAATAAAATCATAAACAAAATAAAATCCTGAATCTATATATCAAATTTAGAGTCTTGAGATTTCTATCTTTAATCTTGAGATGTTTTGAAAGCATCTTGGGAAATTTTTGAGATCTTTTCTTTTTCATCTTAAGATTTTATGAAAGATCTTGAGATTGTCACGAAAGATCTCAAGATTTAGCAAAAAATATTGAGATCTTTGGAACAAATCTTGAGATTTTTTTCATTTTCAATGAAGCGTGAGTGTCATTATGATCCGCAATGTAACAGAAAAGTTTGTGACAAAAGATTGGATATGTACCTCTAAGCTGTAAACAGCCAGAGGCATTAGTCCAAAGTGCTCTGCTCAGTCCAATAATAATCTGCTCGTTGATGAGAATATTTAATTAATAGTAGTTGAGATAACTTTGGACATTTTATATTACATGTATAACTGCTTAAAAAGCTAGGTAAGAATATTCAATCTCATCTGCAATCAGAATGATGTAACCTAAATCATTGACAAACAAGGGCAATTGTTATGTTTTAAAACGTTTAACTGACAACATACAATAAAAGATGGCGGACTTCACCCACTTAGATGGTACTACTTAGTGCCTTGTGTCAGATTACACATTCAATCATGCAAGTGCACTACAGAACACAGGCAAACACAAAAAAACATCCAGTAAACTCTTTTGGGGTGAAAACATTTGGGGTAAAAAAGATCCCACTATACCTGGTTGAGTGACTTGCAGGGAGTTAGCCTGGATCCCCAGGCCCCGGCCAGGGCTGCCCATAGTGTTGTTCAGCACACCGGCCAGGATGACATCCCTGACATAAGAGGCTGACACTTCCTCCCCCTGCTTCTTGAGGTACATGTCTATGTCTGCGATGACACTGCCCTGTCGAAAGCCGGTGACATCTGATCGAATGAAGATGTCCCGTATCGGGCTTCTCCTCATGATTGTGTTCATCTGTAAACAAAAGTAATGGTTAATTTGGGCTAACATACTCAGGTATTGGGTTGGTGGAAAAAGCGGTCCAGTCCAGACTACCTTTTCCACCGTTCAGACTGGACCGTCCTTTCCACCAACCCCTAGGGTACAATGTGTCTGGAAAATTTAGAAAAGAAACATGCTAAAAAAATTGAAAGACTTTAATTTTCATCACAAGACAATGGTGCAGGCCCCAACAATTTAATTTCTTGGTTCTTGGAATCAAACAAATAATACTAAATTAGACATTTTTACGAGCATGTCTCAGAGCAGACTCTGAGGGAAAATTATCTGAATTAGTAAGTCCATGCAAAAACTAATATGATTAGCTTTTAAGACACAATTTCTTTAGAAATTCTGATAAGTTGGTAGATATAAAAATCCATTATTTCATACCGAGCTCTCCACAACAGTAGCTGTCTGCACAAACAGTTGTGAGCCTGGTGTAGCTAACTCCTCACTGTACACAACCGGCCGGCCCTGGATGGTGGTTAGTGTCACTTCAACTTTGTAGATTGTGAAACCTGAAAAGTAGAGCAGAGAGTGTACTGTACTACTTGTGACTTTATAAACATTTTTATGCTGTCCTTTAACAACAAATTGTATTTTATGCAGTCTATTTTCATTGCTATCATGATAGTATGATAATCTATTACATTAACTCTATCATGTACTCACTGACAATGTTTTGTAGCATAGAAATGAATGTCCATCATGCAATATTTACTAATAGACTAATTATGATTGCCACTTTAATCAACAGCAACATTTTAAGTGAGCATCACAACAAACAATTTAGTCCGAACTAATAATATCCCCAATCTTGGCAGCTAGCTGCTATTGAAAACTTTACATGCACCACTAATGAACTAAAGTAGCTGAGCTCAACAGAATTATTGGTGATGGCCACCTGTACTACCCTTACCGGAGGTATCTGTAGTCTGTGGGGTAAGTGTTGTTGTCATTTTTGGATATGTCGTTGTCCTTGGTGCTGAAGTTGTTAACGCCGAATCTTAGTAAATGAAAAAAAAAGTCATCAATTACATGTGTTTGATAGAAATCATACTGAAAAAGTACACACGTGGCTGATGGTTAGTATTAAACACCCTCGCTTATAATTATTGCTTATCTATAAATAGTATAATTAAAGGACATGAACTTCAAAATTGGTGTCTTTGTTCTCTTGTGTCACAGGGTGGTGTTCTTATGCAAGTTTGACTGTAATTGAAATATTTTTTCAATGTACCTGTGCAGGAAGAGTGATCAGGCATCAGCCTGTACCCATCAGTACATGAGCAGACAAAACTGCCGTTGTTGTTGGTACAGTTGTGTTGACAGCCCCCGTTGTTGTCCAGACATTCGTCCGTGTCCTCACACTGCCTGGTGCTGGAGTCAAAGTCATACCCCACCCTGCAGCCACAGGTGAAGCTGCCGTGGGTGTTGTTACAACTGTGGGAGCAGTCGTGGTTTCCAGTCACACACTCGTCTTCATCTGAAACAGGAGGATTATCAAAGATCAAGTCATTATTCAATTCCAAGAGCTAGGACTCCCATGGAATATTTAGGTTTGTTGTGATGGTGACTGTGTCCTTTTGATTGAGAGGTGAGTTGAATTTCTGCATGATGTCAGAGTATAAATCCTTACACAGGTACAAAATTATTGCATGTTGTTTGAGTTTCAGCTTATGTAGATCCACACAGCATACATGTACATGGCAGTAGCTTAACATTCTGGTCTGTTCTAACATGCAATGTGACACACATAAAAATATACAAAACATTATGATACATTGAAAATATAAAGGACCAGAAAAGGTCATGGGTATAGGGACCACCTGCATGGCTATTGTGATCACATTTTTCCAGTCCCTTTGGTTACATAAAAATGTTTCCTGTTGACGCATAGATTAGACCGTCTATAGTGACCACCTGTTACTTTAACCATTTTCATCTCCAAGTCTTTTACAATAGAGAGGTCGCTGTAGACTGGTTTGACAGGTACATGTAAGTCTCACCTTGACAGTGTGTTCTGTTGTACAGAACAAACCCCTCGTAGCAGGCACACCTGTAGGTACCTGGAGTGTTCACACACACCTGGTCACAGTCTCCAGTCTGCCTCAAACACTCATCAATGTCTAAAGGGAACAGAAAAAAAACTCACTTCAGTCACTGTAAACCTTTAAATATTTGTGGCATTTAGAAATCATTACAGTAACTGTACTTACAGTATGAGTTTTTGTAGTATACATATGATAACAGTATAATGATAACAGTCAGCAAAGTATTAAGCCCCGTCAAAAATGCATGGGAATACAGTACATTGTGTACTTGAGAATATTTAATATGTTAGACTTTCCAACTGTGATAGGTCCTGACAGGTATTACAAGTTTGACGTTTCTGTCTCAAGCCAAATGGGCAGAAGTGTACTGTAACAGTAAACTAAAAGGCTTTATCATCTGATTCATTACTATGATGCCTCCATGTCCATAGAAGGTACTGAAATTTTGACAAAATGGCATCTGGATCATGCATTTGTGTCAGTTAGTCCATTTGCTTACTAGCATAATATTACAATCTGAACTGTCTTCAGATGTTAATAACATTACCGTCTTCACAGGTTGACCCAGTGTACCCTGGCGCACAGGTACATGTACCATCCGCAGAACAGTTGCCATGGTAACAGTCTGTAGAGTCCTCATAAGGCTGGGTAGAGTACTGGGTCCCATACTCTGTTCTGTAGGAGGTTCTGTAGAGAAGAAATTCAAAAACTCTTGTGAAAATAAATGCCCGCATGGATGTTATCCATAAAATTTACTTTCATTGGCCTAATCAGCATCTGGTTGTTTTTTTACAGAACCTGTTAATAGCTTTATCCTAAATGGCAAGATCTTGTACATTCATTTGCTACTTAAGAATATAATAAATGCTTTTAATATATATAAGCATACCTGTAGCGAGGACACCTGTTCCAGCCCCAGAAGCCACAGGACAGGTAGTACACACTACTGTAACTTCTCCTGTATGTCACGTCTGCAGACACCACACGGGTCTTTGTCACCGTACACCTGTCACTGCTAGTACGCAATAAACACACAGAAACATGATTAACTGAAATGGCTAATATTCCCTAAGGAACAGCAAATGGTATCCTAAGTACACTGTACATATTACATGTGAATTTCCCATTCAAGAAATGTGTTATCAAAATACAAGTGTCTTCCATAACAAAGACACAGTTGAAAATTTCTTCTATCTTCATGATTATCTTTTCAGACACCAATACTAATTCAATACATATAAAAGCTTCTCCTGTATGTCATCTCTGCAGACACCACAAGGGTCTTTGTCACCGTACACCTGTCAATGCTTTTACGTCATAAACATAGAAACATGATTAAATGAAAGAGCTAACATTCCCCAGGCAGTGGCAAATGGTATCCTAATTACACTACTGTATATCTTGAAATGTTTTGTGCATTGGTCAAGTTAACTTTTGTGGTTGCTACTGCAATTATTCAATTTGACACTATAGCTACAAATATGAGTTTCTAATGTATTACTGCAAATGACCGTATCAAATAATTGTTTGAAAGATTATGGACAGTGAAATAAATGAAATGACAACTTAAGATAAAATTTCCCAAGATATGTGTGTTATCAAAATACATGTCTTCCATAACAAAAACAGTTTAAAAGTTCTATTATTTTCATATTTTTCCAGACACAAATACTAATAACAATGAACTGACCAGCTCAACCTTAACACCAAGATTGGGCTCAAAAAGAGGAAGTGAAATACTATAACATGTGGGAAAGTTTTTCTGAATATTTCTTTTTACAAACCATCTTCTATTTGATTACAAGACAGTGTTGGGCTAGACTTTTAATGATATTGTGGTATGATGAAAAACACAATATGATATTAGCTCAAATGTAACAAGCAATGGTCATAAAATAGTGAAATATTCAGCTGCCATTTAATGTATGTAAAGAAGGGAAAATGGTTTTGTATCAGACAATATAATAACATTGCAGTACAATATAATATACAATTTCCTACAAATATACAAGTCAAGTATATCATGAACAAGTTTTAATGGTTGCATATATAGCATAATATCTGTAGAAGAGGACAATGTTAGTCTACCAATCTACTTGAGGAAACGAACCTAAAATAAAACTATCATGACATGGTGCATGTAACGTTATATAGAGCTGTGACAGTTATGCCTATTCACTTTGAAGAAAAGCATTGGGAGAAAAGGCTAGTTTTAAAAAGTGTTCTTCAGTTCTGACAAATGGCTTAAATATTAGTTAAAAGTCAAAATTGTTACGGGCAAACGAAGAAGGAAGTGAAACTACATGTAAGCTTACGAAGATATCAGAGGAAATGGGAGGGGGGCACTCACCTGTAAGCCTCAGTGACAAGCAGTACAAAACCGACAAACACCTGCAAAGACACGCTCCGTACAAGTTCCCCCATGCCTTTGAGATCTTTTCTACATCACTAAGACGGTAAAATTTTAGATTATTTCTACATTTTACCTCCAAAACGGAACCTTACACGGTCCTTGGTGACTTTTACCTGTCTGTGTAAGGGCTCTTTTGTTGTTTGTTACGTCAGATAATTCCCCAGCCCCACCGCCTGGGGGTATCATGTTACAAACGTTAAACAACAGAGGGTGGGCATGCGGTTCTTCAAGTAAACGTGTCGCGTTTTTAACAAACTTAACAACTGTTAGCTTCGCTTAACGATAGTCTTGTTTCACCAATGACTTTAAGTGTATGTATAAGTATGCTTTAAGTCAATGATACTGAGGAAATTATGTTGGATTTTAGCGTATTTTGAGACAGAGCGTTGTACCGACTGACTCCATACACAGCCACTTGGTCACTGCAATTACCATAAGTTCTACAGGTACACATTCCTATCATGCAAGTTCATTGGTTGACTGGGATACATTGAAAACATTTCTACCAATCACAATAGTGTGATTCATGTGCGGGTAGGTTGCAACATTCTTAACTGTACATTTAAGGTTAGAAAAACACATTTGAGTCAAAAGCGTCCTTGAACTGTACCGTTTATTCACGCTTTCAAACAAGACAAAAAACTTTCGCAATATGCAGACATTCTAAGCATTACGAATATGTTTTATTTTGAATAGTGACGATGCCGGATATCACAGAATGAAAGGATTAATTATTATTTAATTCCTGGATTGATTGCTAAGTTAGTTTTAATTCTATAACTGCTAAAAGAAGGCACAATTATGATCAAGATAAATTATGATATCCAAAATATAATCCCAAAACCACCAATAGCCATGCAAATGTGTACGCCAAAGAGAGTAGACACTTTCATCAATACAGTACGTTCTAATTTGATAACTTTAAGAGATTAATTTTATATATTATGTACTATTGTCTGAAATATTAACAGTCGCTATGATTAACAAGCGGTTGCGACTAAAGAACTTCAATCATTTATCAACCAGATAAACTTACCTTTTTTTTACCTATTTAGGTCTTCTTGTTTATCAAATGTTTTAAAGCGCCTCTCAGCATCTTATAGAACCAGAAGATATTTAGGACGTTCAGGACGGTCCAGAGTAAGATGGCGGTGACAGCGGCGTCCCAGCCGACTTGGAAGACCTTCCCTGACACGACATGGGGGTACATGTGGTACCAGTAGTGGGGGATGACGGCGATTCTACCCAGGAAGAACGTCAGAACCATGGCGTAACCGTTCAAGGTGTAGGCCTCGGACTTGACTTTGCCGGTGAAGTAAAGACTTTCTCTGAAAGGGATAATAATTTATGATTATAGCTTACGGGTAAATATGGTCCTTTGACACTTTGTATCTTTCTACATGTCATTGTATATACATGTACCTATAGTGAATAGACCGCCCTTCGGAGTAGCTATTACGTCTTAATCTCCAAGCAGATCTTTTGGTGGGGGTAAGACAGTATCAAATTGGCCAGTCTGTATTTATTGGATACAGA